AACAAGTACTTTTAATTTGATTCTCCCAAAACTAAATCTCTATTCCATTTCTTTGTATGTGTGTCTGCCTTCAAGACAATGTTTTGACTCTGGGCAACTGCTTAGACAAGTCCCTGCAGTTTTATTGGCAACATATCAGAAGGGGTTTGGTCCTTGCCTACTTCCTAGGGCTGAGAGTGTGTGACTGGCCCAAGGTCACCCAGTTGACTTCATGGGTAAGGCGAGTCTAGAGAGCATGGATTCTTGGTGCGTCTGGCATTTGCAGCGTGTTTATCATCTCTCACCTTGTCTTCTATTCTGAGAGATAAGCTGTGCAGGCTATTTTAGATAATCTCCTATCTTGATTTCAGCAAGGCTGGGAGAACCAGTTTGTCCCTGTAGTGTTAAGGTGTTGTCCTGGAAACCTGGAAACCACGAGTTCTAGTTCTGCCTTAGGCATGAAAAGCCGGCTGAGTGACTTTGAGCCTGTCACTCTCTCTCAATCCAATTCACTGCACAGGGTTGTTTTTCTTAGGAAAATAAGAGCTATCTGTGTTTGCTGCCTTGAGCTGTATGTGGGGGGAAAAACAGGGTGAAAAAAGTATAAAAGGAAATCATGGTTCTTCACAAACGCTCCATGGTTTGCCCTAAGATTATTCTCTTCTTTGTTACAATCCTTAGTCCTTAATGAATCAAAATGCCAAAGATTTGCTGCTACAGGTATTCCTTGAGTCACTGCCTATCATGGTGGTAATGTCTGGCGGTCATAATATGACCAGTCATGTGACCTTTTTTGAGGTAGTCCAGTGAATCGCCACAGTTGTTAAGCAAAGCCATGGTTGTTGAGTGAACACCAAAGTCAATAAGTGAAGCAATAGCTTGCCTGTGGATGGGTTTTTTCCATAAACTAGAAATATATGCGAGTTTTCAGCAAAACCATTATAAAACACGTCATATGATGGCAGGATGCTTCAAATGGCTATAAATGCAACCCAGTTGCTGAATGTACAAAATACAGTTGTGATCGTTTTGTGTGTGTGTGAGGGGGCGGGCGAAACCAACCAAATTTTGAATCTGGGCTTTAAATACTTATCCAGGCAGGTCCATTGGAACTTTGATCAGAGGTGCCATTCAGCCAGTTCTGACAGGTTCTGGAGAACTGGTAGCAGAAATTTTGAGTAGTTTGGAGAACCGGCAAAAAGACTGGCCCCCACCCCCGCTGCCTCCTAGCTGATCTTCTTTTATTGCCCTGAACAGGAGAACAGAGCTGGAAAGCAGGTTAGTAGGGTGGGAAGGGAATTGGGATTTTGCAGTATTCCCTGCCATGCCCACAAAGCTACGCCCACCATTGCTTTGAATGGTTGCTGTAAGTTGAGGAACCCAAATTCAGATGTCTGGAATGATTCTGGCTGTATTCTTGTGTAGACACACAAACAATCCAGTAGCAGGTGCAGGAAATAGCTGGTCTGCACCCTTCCTTTTCCAACTATTTGTTCATATATAACATGGACTTGGATTTTGCATTGAGTTTGGACTCCTCATTTCTTCCAGCACCTCCTGTGCTGTGCGCCTGAAGGGTGTGGGGAATGCATTAAACCAATCAGATATTGAAATTGCTACCCAGGATTTGTCTTATATTGACCATCTGACCAAACGTTGACATTTTCTGCCTGACTTTGGAAATCTCAGGTCCTGAATTTGAATACTTTGCAGGCACTCATCTATATCCTCCAATCAGCCTGATAGTTCCAGTTGGGGTTGTTTCCTCTGTTTAAAGTCCTGCAGGAAACACAAAGGCAAAGAATGGCAGAAATCGGAGGGATGCCAGATTGGGTAAAATAGCTTTTAATAAGTGGAGAGGACAGCTCCAAGGTGTGGAGTTTCAAACCTTGTTTCTTTGAAGCTCTTAGCACTTTCACAAAGAAAAATCAAGGACCTCTGATTCCAAAATTAACTGCTTTGGCAATTTTCAAACAGCATTTGAAACTGAATGCAGGAACCCTTCCCCTTCCCCCCTCTTTTAAATTTCATTTTAGCTTCCCTTCGGGACAATAATTCTATGTAATTCAGGAGGTGTTGCCATTCCATTTAAAAAAGCAATAGCACTTATATACCGCTTCATAGGGTTTTTACAGCCATCTCTAAGCAGTTTACAGGGTCAGCATATGCAGCTTTTACACGCTTCTGATGGGCCGCTCATGCTTGTAGCCGAATGAGAAGAAAAACACCGGACAAATCCTTCTTGTGATAAGCTCTGGCCCCGAGCAATGCCCGGGAGGCTTTTTTATTAGTCCCAAACAAAGGAAAGGTGTATACAAATTACATCAACAGGCACATGACTAAATAATCCAATAATAATAATGATGCGTGGCAAAAAGCTTCGTCTCTGGGCAAAAGAGTGAGTGAAAAGGGGGGCTGCTTCTTCCCTGGGCAGGAGAAGAGAGATAAGGAATAGGGAGGGGGGAAAGGAGGAAAGTGAGCAGCTCACATTCCTGCCTTTGAAATGCTAACTGCTAGATAGATGCTGGTACAGAAAGGCGCGCTAATTAATAGCAAGACTTACGTATTGCTAACAAGAATGTTTTTGTTAGCATCCATCTCTGGGCCTGTGTTTTCCAGACAGCCTTAGCCGTCCTATACACAGAAGTGGCAATGGATCTCAACAAGCATATTTTCCCCAACAATCTGGGTCCTCATTTTACCCACCTCGGAAGGATGGAAGGCTGAGCCAACCTTGAGCCGGTGACTGCAGTTAGCAGTCATCTGAAGTAGCCTGCTGTATTGCACTCTAACCACTGGGCCACCTCAGCTCTATCTTCTAAAATCTTCTAAAATAAGGAGGGTTCTGGGAGTTTTTAATCTCTAGGTCCTGAAGAAGATCCATCCCAACCACCAGATACAGCTAATTTCAATTTCAGAGATTATTCTGCTGGTGTCTCCTTGAGGAAAAAATATGTTTTGCTTTCTTCTCTGCACTAGAATTTTCCAAAGTTCATTTTTTCTGGTCCTACCTGCTTATGAAGATTGTTTTTTCCTCCCCTAAGGCCATTGCCACACAACACGCTTACATCAGAGTTTCTGCCTGATTTGTGATCTGATCACATTTCTCTTACAATCTGGCACAGCATTGGTTAGTCTATGATGAACACATTGATCAGATTTGTATCCAGCCTTCATTACTTCATAAGTAACTCAAGATGGTGAACACACATAATACTCACAAATGAAGGTAAATATATATACGTGTCCCAAGATAATGTTGCTGGATCCAAACAAGGCACAGTAATATCTAGTGAGTTGTAATCCCATTTTAGGCATGAAAGCCAACTGGGTGACTTTGGGGCAGTTCCAGGAAACTGACAATTCTAATCCTGTCTTAAGCATGAAAGCTGGCTGGGTGACTTTGGGCCAGTCATTCATTCTCAACTCAACATACCTCACAGGGTTGTTGTTATGGGGATAATAGGAAGGAGAGTTATGTCTGCAAGATCCAAACTGGGTCAGTCACTGGGACCACAGGTTTGGTCTTCCAAGCTTTCAAACTCATGCTGGAGCTTATCCTCAGGGAATTTATCTCTACCAGAATATGTGCTTTATTCTATTTTATTCCATTTTACATTAAATCTCTGGTCCTGCCCAGATTGGATCCTGCATACATAATATTCCTTCGTATTATCCCCATAACAACAACCCTGTGATGTAGGTTGGGCTGAGAGTGAATGAACGGCCCAAAGTTACCTAGCTGGCTTTCATGCCTAAAATAGGATTACAACTCACTAGATTGTTAGAAGAAATGTTCATAATGTCCATCTGGATTCAGTACCAAGTGGGAAGAAAGACACTGGAAACATGGAGACTGCTTGGAAAGATGATTTAATGCTGGACAGGATCACATGGTTTGAGGTCCAGGGCAAAAAAGGGAAGAGATGCTGAGAGAGCCTAGCTTTTATGCCTTCTCTCGGCTTTTGAATTTGAGCTTGATTTCTGATTGGTTGTCCAACTCCCATGGAGCCATGCAGGGGTAACTCTGTAGGTTGTGTTTGTGTCCCAGGCTTGGTTGAGCCTTGCTGGGTGATGATGTAATGAAGGGGCTTTGAGCAATTCCTCCTATGGCTCTTCCTGAAGGAGGAAGATCTTTGTTATGTAGAATAGACTGGCCCAGGTCTTAATGGCCCATTGACAAAGGTGGGGGGTTGAGTTTCTGCCTCCCTTTTAGGGGAAATATTCTACCCTTTTAATATTGCCTAAAATGTCTCATTTTTCTAGGAGAGTGGTGGGTTCTAATTTCCTACAAGATATTACTGTGCCTTGTTTGCAAGGAAGCTTTCAGGACAGAAATGAGCTGAAGAGTCTTAAATGTTTCACAAATCAACAGTGAATTGGAGTAAGCAAAACAATACCAGTGTGGCATCTGCCTCAAATATTTTTTTAGGGAGGATTTCACCTACTGGTAATAGAATTGACACTGTTATCTAGTAAACCTTGTCAAGTTTCGCATTAATGAGTTCTAACATCGGAGACAAAGAGCAAAAGAATCAAATGTTTCAAAGAAGTTTCATCTGAGTTCTAATGAAGGCAGGATGTGAGGTACAAATATGCTTCATATAAGGCTGCCTGGATTTATAATAATCTCCATTAAGAAAAATCCTAAGTAATATTGTGGCATCTATTATGTTTAAACACCTATATGTCATTTGGATAAAATTCTATCCAATCTTCTATCCACTCTTATTTACCATAGAAAGCAGCCTTTAGAGTCATGGAAAGTAGTAACCAGATGTGCTGGAATATACTTAAGTTTCTCTGAGTTGTAATTGGACACTTTCAAATGAGATCTGATTGGACAGCTTTGTCATCTTTCGGAAGACGCCCAGACGTTTTTACAGGTTGGCAACAGGGGGCGGGGCGCAGTGGGAGTAGACTGTTCTCGTTCAGAGTTTCCACTCTGGTCCGCCTCCAGACTATATTAAGTTCCTGGCACAGCACCTTTCAGTTGTTATCGGCTTGGTGGTTTAGTTGCTAAGATGTCTGGTCGTGGTAAAGGAGGGAAAGGCTTAGGGAAGGGAGGTGCCAAGAGGCACCGTAAGGTCCTTCGCGACAACATCCAGGGCATCACGAAGCCTGCCATTCGCCGCTTGGCTCGTCGTGGCGGAGTGAAGCGGATCTCCGGGCTCATCTATGAAGAGACCCGAGGCGTCTTAAAGGTCTTTTTGGAGAACGTTATCCGGGATGCCGTTACCTACACCGAGCATGCCAAGAGGAAGACTGTGACTGCTATGGACGTCGTTTATGCTTTGAAACGCCAGGGTCGCACCTTGTACGGTTTTGGTGGTTAAAAAGCTGCATTTCCACCGCTGACAAAGCAATCCAAAGGCCCTTTTCAGGGCCACCCACTCAGTCATTTTAAAGAGCTCTTTTCATTTTGGGACGGGGGGGGGGGCTAACGTAACTACTGTAAACTCATCGCGATCGACAGCGTTAGTAAATAATTAACTGAGCAAATGAAACTGCTTTATTTCGTTTTTAATTTTTTAAGGTTTGTGAAAAAAAAGGCTTGTTAAGGTTTTATCATTTTTTTTAAAGTATATTTTCAAGGCTTATCGCGTGTATCTGCGGAAAGACTAGTTATTAGGGGAGACACTGGTGAAATGAAGCTTTCGGCATTTTCCACGTTCATCGGGAGACAAAAGAAAAGGGGAAAACGGATGTAGATTAATTACGCGCCACAAAGAATCAGTACTGCAGCGCGGCAAATTCAAACCTCGTTAATTGAACCGTAAGATTTATGTGAGAAATTTGCCACAAGATGGCAACAGAGGACAAGGAATGCCAATTCCAACCCTCCGCCCCGCCCTCCAAAAGCTCCCCATGAAAAGATCTGTACAATAATGTGAAAAAAAACTACAACAATATACATAGCTACTGTTCAAAGGCCTGGCAGTGGTGAAACTGGTGACTAGATACATTTCCATCCTTCCAAGGTCAGTAAAATGAGCTAGATTGTTAGTGGCAATATGCTAACTCCCTAAAACTACTTAGAGCTGCAAAATATTATGAAGTGGTATAGTGCATTACAGTCCTCTCTCAGCGGTTTACATAGTCAATATATTTCCCCCAACAATCTGGGTCCTCATTTTACCCACCTCAGAAGGATGGAAAGTTGAGTCAACCTTGAGCCAGTGAGATTTGAAGTGCCAAACTGCAGTAAATTGAAGTAGCCTACAGTATAATATATAATATCTCCAGGGAATAGTTATGGCTTGGAATAACAAGGAATCAAGTAAAAATACTCATATCCTCAATTGCTATCAGTGATTTAGTTTTCCATTTGCTTAAAATGTTCTGCATTTTTAAAGCTAACCAAAACTCTGTAGTTACTATAGAGCGGATATATTTACATCTGAATGAATTTGGGAAATATAGTGGATTACAAATAAACTGGGGAAAATCAGAAGTGATGCTATATAACCATAGTAAAGAAGTGGAGATATTGAGAGGGAAATATAAATTAAAAATAGGAGATAGTATTAAATGTTTAAATATTCAAGTTAAATAAAATAAATTATGAAAAAGAAAGATATAAAAGATAAAACAGATAAATATGAGAAAGTAAAATTAACTTAGTTTGGAAGAATTGCAATGATAAAAATGAAGCTTTTACAAAAAATTAATTTTTTGTTTTGGATGAGCCAAATTAAATTATCGGATCAAGAATTATGCAAATACAGAGGCTGCTGGAAGTGTATTGTAATGGAGATAAGAAAACAAGTATAAGTAACGCATTATGGTATGAACCATTATGGCTGGGCTAGGTCTTCCAAATATTAGAAATTATTGGGTTGCTAATCAATTAAAGGTGGTGCCAGATATTATAGTAGTAACTAGAGATTTAATATGGAAGAATATAGTTGAAAGAGTTAAGGGAAATAGGTAATCCTATAGAAACATATTGGTTTAAAAAGAATATTTAAAAAATGTTAGGAGGATACAAAATCCCTTTTTAAAAAATTTGACGGAATATGAAAAAATAGAGATACCGGCTAATGCCAGGAATCTCTCCTTTAACACTGGTGGTGGAAATGGAAACTTCCCTAAGACTGAATTGAAAGAATGTTTTAGTAAACTAAAAGAAAATCAGATATACATATAATTGGGAAGACTGGAAAAACAAGATAAATAATATAACACAACTACTTTTTTTTAGCAGATATTAAAATAAATTGGTTGAATTTAATACAATTAGAAAAATGGATAAAATTAAAAAAAAGATTCAAGAAGAAAGACAGTTAACGAAATTTGAAATGATTATAAAAGAATGTGAGATGAACGAAGAATATATAGGGAAAGGAAGAATAGGGAAAATGTATAGAATACTAACTGAATTAGAAGAGCAGGCAAAAGGTTTAAAATTAATTTGTAAATCAGATTTGGGAGAAATAACTGATAATGATTGGAAAAGTTTGGAATAAAATAGTATATAAGAATATGTCAGTTAGAGTGTGGGAAGTTATCATCCAGCCCTCTCCCAGAAAAATGAAATATCCTAGGAAATATTGAAAAGGCAGAATATTTCTCTGGATGTGAAAAGAAAGAAACATGTTTTAAAAGACA